GTATAGAGAAAGAACAACAGGTTCTCTGAGATATTTAATGTTTCAACTACAAGGATTTTCTTTAATTTCCCAGTAACATAACCTTTTAGTATGAAGCTTATGATGACTACACAGATTATAAGATATTGTATTGGTTGTCTTGAGTTAAAGAGTGTGTTTGTCTTAAGCCTTTGTATTTGTTCCCCTGAGCTGCAGATGAACTCACTGGACCTGTGATAGGTAATCCATCAACTGGAAATGAAATCTCCAGACTGATGTTAATTAACCTTCCATTGTAAGCTGGACTTCTTCACTTCTCCATCTGTAGAAAAATCTAAGTTGCTTCTGACAGGTCTGAATCAAGCCCAGCATGAAGCTTGATTCTTTGGCAGACATCTGTGTGGAATGGACAAACAAGTGGATTTTGGAAGAGAGAGGCTTCCAGCAGAGATTGCAGGGGTTCCACATTCTCATCTCTCAAGACAGAGATACCGCGCACAGCCCTACTGTGGTAGCGGCACAGGGATGTGTTTCCCAGGGACAATGGTCCTGATTCCATTCATTGCTGTCTATGTCTGAGAAAGAAAAATTCTTTTTGTGTTGGTACTTTGGGTCTCAGGCCTCAAGGAATCATCTTGAGATTCTCCCATAATATCTCCCATTTATTTATTTATGAGACAAGGTCTTGCTCTGTCATCCAGGCTAGAGTGCAGTGGTATGATCATGGCTCATTGGAGTCTTGAACTCCCTAGCTCAAGCAACCCTCCTGCCTCAGTTTCCCAAATAGCTGGGACTACAGCTCACATCACCCTGTCCAGCTAATTCAAAAAATTTTTTTTTGTAGAGATGGGGGTCTTGCTATGTTTCCCAGGCTGGTCTCAAACTCCTGGCCTCAAGTGATCCTCCCAGCACAGCTTTGGGATTATGGTATTCCAAAAAGGTGAAAGTGGATATATGATTGATATGGTTTGGCTCTGTGTCCCCATTCAAATCTCATCTTGAATTGTACCCCCATAATTCCCACGTGTTGTGGGAGGGACCCAGTGGGAGATCATTTGAATCATGGAGGTGGTTTCCCACATACTGTTCTCATGGTAGTTAGTAAGTCTCACGAGATCTGACCTTTTTTTTTTTTTTTTTTTAACAGAGTTTTGTTCTTGTTGCCCAGGCTGGAGTGCAATGACACGATCTCAGCTCACCACAACCTCCGACTCCCAGGTTCAAGTGATTCTCCTGCCTCTGCCTCCCAAGTAGCTGGGATTACAGGCATGTGCCACCACACCTGGCTAATTTTGTATTTTTAGTAGAGATGGGGTTTCTCCATGTTGGTCAGGCTGGTTTGAACTCCTGACCTCAGGTGATCCGCCCGCCTCAGCCTCCCAAAGTTCTGGGATTACAGGTGTGAGCCACCATGCCAGGCAATCTGATGGTTTTATCAGGGGTTTCTGCTTTTGCATCTTCCTCATTTTCTCTTGCTGCCGCCATGTAAGAAGTGCCTTCCGTCTCCCACCATGATTCTGAGGCCTCCCCAGCCATGTGGAACTGTAAGTCCAATTAAACCTCTTTTTCTTCCCAGTCTCAGTTATGTCTTTATCAGCAGTGTGAAAACAGACTAATACAATTATATATGTTTTTTGTTTGGTTGGTTTTAAAAAAAGCTTTATGGGTACATGGTATGTGTATATATTTATGGGTTACATGATGGTACATGGTTTTTTCTGCTGCATATCTGTTTATATTGCAGATTTGATATTCTATATGAAAGTCTCATTCATTCACAGAACATCAACTCTGTACCAGGTAGGCTTTGATATGCTCAGCCATAGAATTAGAGGACAATGGAGTTGGGGACTTGGAGAGGCGACATGATTTTTTTTTCTGATCTACACTGTGTTCCATGGGTATCCTTGTATCTTCTGTCAATGAAAAGAGTCAAACTTGGTAAAGTATTTGAAGAGGTTTATTCTGAGCCAAATATGAGTGATCAATGGCCTGTGACACAGCCCTCAGGAGACTCTGAGCATATGTGCCCAAGGTGGTCAGACTACAACTTGGTTTTATACATTTTAGGGAGACATATGACATCAGTCAATATATGTAAGATGTGCATTGGTTGGGTCCAGAAAGGTGGGACAACTGGAAATGGGGGCTTCCAGGTCATCGGTGGATTCAGATATTTTCTGATTGGCAATTGGTTGAAAGAGTTATTATCCAGAGACCTGGCATTAAGGAAGGCGACCCTTAATCCTCTTAAGCTTCTAAGTGCCCTTCCCCCTAGACTTCTACATTGCATTTCAATAGGAGAAGTAAAGGCTGGCAGACCTGGGCACCACCCTTAGTCACACTCCTGTAGATCACAGATGTGGTATGGAGGAATCTTTCCGGAAGGCATTGTGTTTTTTTAAACATGATCAAACCCCCACCTAGTCACATAGCCAATGCCTGCTTCATGGATCAAGACCCTTTCACATGTAATTTCTAGAACTGCAAGCCTTTATTTTTATTTTGTTTTATTTTTATCTTTTTTTTCGGGACGGAGTTTCACTCTTGTTACCCAGGCTGGAGTGCAATGGTGCGATCTCGGCTTACCACAACCTCCACCTCCTGGGTTCAGGCAATTCTCCTGCCTCAGCCTCCTGAGTAGCTGGGATTACAGGCACGCACCACCATGCCCAGCTAATTTTTGTATTTTTAGTAGAGATGGGGTTTCACCACGTTGACCAGGATGGTCTCGATCTCTTGATCTCGTGATCCACCTGCCTCGGCCTCCCAAAGTGCTGGGATTACAGGCGTGAGCCACCACGCCCGGCCCTTAGAATTGCAAGCCTTTAAAAGGGCAAGGATTTTCTTTGTCAAGGAGCTTGGGTATTAAGGGATTTTCACCTGCCGCAGCTCCTGGCTGAATAAATCACCACTTCCTTCCCAGTTCAGTGTTCGAGAGGTTTCTTTGCAACCCCTCCTGCTTCATTATTTGGTTCCCTGACCGGGAAGCGAGTTTTGGCTGGCAGACAGTCAAGACAGCCTTTCTTTCAGGCGGTTTTGCCTTGCCCTGTGGAGTATCCTACAGGGGACTCCAGCCTGCTTGGGCGATGCGATTTCTGAGAGTGCTCCGGGCAGGTATTGGCACTGGTGGAAAGCCTTGCCAGAGCAAAGCAGGAAAGCCCCCCGCAGTGTGGATCCACCCAGTGGCTGAACACAGAGAAGGAATGGGTGCCTGGAGTGTCCGGATGACAGAAAGATGGTAAGATTGATCCTGAGAAACTTGCCCACCTCCTTTAGGTGAAAGCGTGGCCTGATCACCCACATGTGCCGGATTTGGCACTCCTGAACGTGGCTCTCTCTCCCACCCTCTCTGTAACTAACCTTGGAAATCTTGCTTTTGGTTTCAATTTGGGTGGAAGGAGGAATGCGATTGTGTGAGTGATTGGAGGAGTCCAGTTGGACTCACCAGCCATGAAATGTGGGAGTGGCAGGTCAGTTAGAAAGGGCCCTAAGCTCTGAGCGAATTGTGGGGCTGGCTGTGATTAGGGACGATCCACATATGGCTGGAAGGAGGTGCCCTCGCAATCTAGGTATTGTGGGGGGAGTAACGAACTCCCCAAAGCCAACTGGTGTCTGAAACACTCCCCAAAAGGGAGATGAGCCTACTGGCCTGAAGCAAAAGTGAAAGAGTGTGTCGTGTCGTGCAGGATGGGAGAAACTGAGGGTGGAGTAAAACTCTACTGCCTGTGAGTACTGTTTTTCTGTGCAAAAACATGAGTCACACTCACAGCAAGCCTACTCCTCTGGGGAATATGCTGAAAATTTTCAAGAAGGGATTTAGTGGGGATTATAGAGTAGCTATGACACCAGGAAAGCTGAGGACCCTTTGT